ACTCTTTCCTGCCTATGCAGGGGGTCGGACTCGATAATCTATTGAGGTCCCTTCCGACCCCAACATCTATGAATCTCTCTGAATTGAATCGGAACCCTCCGGTACTTCCGGTCCACCACTGAGAATGCAGGGGGTCCCCCCGCACTGCTGTGTGATGCTCCATCTACTCCAGCATTGCAGCATTTATCTGGTACCTCCAGGTATATAGAAAAAACATTTAAAGCTGTTTCTATGGCTGAATCGCTGATTTTCCAAATCAGCATCAGATCTTCAGATTCAGCCAAATCGAATCAGGGACAGTGATCTGAATCAAATAATAGAATCACTGTCCCTGATTCGGACCAAATCCAAATCGAATACAGCCCATATTGCAAACCCCTACTACCCATCTAGCAGGAGAAAAAACACAATTACAGCAAGCGAAAGTATACCTGCAGCTCTGCTTACAAACAATATTTTATGGGACTGGTATCAAACCTAAAATGTGGAAAGATTAAGATATTTCATAATGTTGTTATTAGCAGGATCATTAGTAATAACATCACTAAAATTCTTGCATTTACAGGGACAACAGATGATTGGTGAAGTGCCTGGGAATGACTCAAAGATCTACATTTCTCTTTGTGCTGAATTGAGCTACTAAAAGCATAGTATATTTGAAAAGCCTTGTTAAGAAAAGCCTGTTAAATTTGAAAAGCCTATTGATCTTCATTGTTAAACCAGGACAATTTTGCTGGCTGGCTGAATGCTTTCTCTCTGCAGCAGACTTTTTGACTGGAGTCTGAACTGGGTTTTTTGCTTGGGGTACTACATTTGACTAAGAAATGTGGATTGATCTGTGGTATCACCTAGTTTAAAAACACCCCTACAAGACAAAGAAACAAAGAAAGCTTTATGAAAGAGTCGCATGCTGATTTCCTCTCAGCTAGCCACTATCTCAACTTCAGCTGAAACAGTCATTTCATATTTTCGCATGTGTAAGAGAGACAGACAGACAGACCACAGTCCAAAGACATAAACTATACTTACATACCTGCTATGACATATCCTCTGTACCTCAAGAGCTGACCTTCCAAAACAGCAGCAAACACTGGTGTCACATTCCATTACACCATACTAAAAAAAAAAAAAATATTTGTCCTACTCTATAGAGAAATATGACTGAAAAAAAGCTATATTCTGACTCATACTTCAAACAACTCTGCAAAAATAAAATGAACCAAACTGAACAGGAAGACATAGGAATATCTAGTTAATAAAAAAGAAAAGCAGTGGGAAATCTGTGACTTTCCACCTGATGTTTATGAAGAGTGAAGTTGATAAGATGTGTGCACGATTATCTAAATGACCTGCTATTTACTCTGTCAGCTTATTCTGTCAGCACATTTAGTGCTGTAAGTGTCTATGGTCATTTAAGCAATACTAGAATTATTGCTGAATTTTAAGAACTTTATTTTCCATAAGGTCTAGACCTGCCTTCCTTTCGAGATATATTCAGGTTTTAGGCAGAAAAAAAGAGGTATAGCAATATTATTTATGAATGTAACTTGGGTGCACCCAAGTACTGTGCTCCACTCTCCAAGTAGAAGGGATGGGTGGATCTGCAGTATGCAGGCCAGACTCCTCTACTCCCTATACAGTCAGGCCAAAGGTGTGCCCTATTCTCAATAGGATGGGAGGAGAGCAGGAGCGGGTACTGTGAGAGGGATGCCAGAATTTCGAGCAGATCCCTCTTTCCTCTATAGAGTTAGCCCCAGCCCAAATTTCTTAACTATATACAATTTATTCAGTTATAATATACATAAATATAAAATTAAATATCATATACATATAGTTACAGTGAACATTAACCAATAACCAAGGTCAAACCCTAAATAACACTATTCACAACATCACTATACAACATTTCAATTGCAAAATATAAGGCGCAAACATGAACAATCTTAATAACATTGATTTCCTTAATATAGTCCCTGACCCACAGCAAGAGATAGTTCTCCTTCCAGTGGGGTCCCTCGGAGGGCGTGTCCAGGAACCACCAGGGGCCCCTCCCCTTAGGGCCTTGATGAGCCGGGGGACTGTTCACCCAGCCCCTTCTCTGGGGTTGCCCGCCCCAAACGTCTTTCCCCTGTGGGACCCAAGGGCCCAATGACTCTCGCTCTCTCAGGTCGCGAGGGCAGGGCACAGCTCAATGAGGTCTCCTCTGCTGGAGTGCCTCTCCAGGCCTCTCCTGCACTGCTGGGCTCCTCTCCACCCAGTGCCCCGCTCTGGGCACCGAGGGCTCAGCTCCTCTCAGCTGCTGAACTACTGCTGCTGGCTCCTGGGTGCTGAGCCTCACGCTGCAGCACTTACCATTTCCCCGTGCCCTGGCTCAGCACTGAGGGCTCTCTTAGCACAGGCCAGGCCCTTCAGGCACCAGCCAGCCCTCCTCACACCAGGTGGCTAACCCAAGCAGCCTCTGCTGCTCCCTAGCTCCTAAGGCTTGGCCTTAGGAGCTAGGCTTGGCCTTAGGAGCTAGGGAGCTCCTAAGGCCCTAGCTCTGGGGTTGCAGGCTAAAGCAACCCCAGAGTTGCAGGCTAAAGCATGCTGCACAGTCAGGTCCACAGCATGAGAGCTGGGTACCCAGGAGCTTATGTCTAGCTGCCTACACCCTGGCACAGAAACTTCCATGCTAGAGCACTTGCACCTGGTCATTAGATTTATCTCTAGTCTCCAGCTGTACTAAGCTCGTTTCTGTATCAGGGTACATGCAGCTGGGGACTGAGAAGAAACCTGGATCCCAGCTGCTCATGCAGCTAGGCATCAGGAGGTCCTTAGCTGCACATGTACCACTTCTGCACCAGGGTGCATGCAGCTGGGCACTGGGGAGCTCCCTGGTCACCAATTGCACATTGGCAGAGATTGAAGAGCTCCCCATCTACACTTCCCAATGTACATGCAGCCAGCTGTACATTGCAGCAGATGCACAGTGGGTTCAGAGGAATTTTATCCCAGACCTTGAATATCTGGCATAGCAGAATAAGCAATTTTTGGAACCTGCAATAAAATTCCTCAGATCCCATTTTACTGTCAACTGACATCTTCCAGGGGCCTTAATGGCAATTCCCCTTTGTTTCACTTCCATTCATGATTTCTGACCTGGTTGCATCCTACCCACAAAAGTAGTTAAACCAATTTAATCCTGTCTGCCTATCTGCCTTTTAGTGACCATCACCATAGCATTACTGATTGGTTTAACATGAACCCCAGAACACACACATGCGTTCTAATAATGGGCCTCCAAACAGGTGTGTACTTTTTCCTATTATGAAGCTGTTTTATCTCCAATAGAAACACATAGCTCTTTCTTTAGAAACCACTTTCCAACCAACACACTTTCCCAAGAGAAGGGAAAAATAAAGGGAAGTAAGGTTATACAGTTCTTAGTGTTTATAAGCTCATTGTAAAAAGAAACACTCTGATCCAGTCTTCCACAAAACATATCAGAAGAGACATTAAAATAAAGGTAAAATAAATGTTTTTTGTGTGAAATCTTTCGAATTTAACCCATGCATTGGGCCTTTGAAAAGCATGATGATTTAGAGACAGGGAGGAATGGCAATGGAATATAAAATACAAAATGTCATCATTGCTTCAAAACAGAAGAAGCCATTTGCCTGGTGAAAGAAGTTTCTCAGCTATGATCAAACTGGCTAAAATTTCTAATTGTCATAAATCAAAATGCTATCAGCACTGAGCCAAAAGGGTATGATGCAACCCAGATTTTTAAAATATTGATTACTTGCATATACACATAACTAAGTAATTTTGTTTCAGTATCAGGTACTTTATATCTAGGAATTTTCAAATGCTTCAAAGAAATGGTTTCTGTGACAGATTGTACAGAATAATTTATTGACAAATTCCGGACAGGAAATAAATACAGACAAAAGGAAAATCCACTTTATAATAGAGCCCCTCTGTCTTCAATGGAAAACAGTAAGTTTGTTTTTAACTCTTAATGAGACAACTGGCATGCCAAAACATGGTTATGTTCAACCTGAAAAGACATATAGCAAGACAGATGCTTACTGGGGATGACAGGAAACAAAGAGCAAAGGAGCAGACAAAATCATTTTCATAGTCTGTCTAAGGCCCTGTGTCTCTGGAAATGTGTCTTGATCTGAGCAATCATTGACAAGTTGTACTGCAATGAGAGATTACAAAAATTCTAATACGTAATGGTGAGTCTATTCTTCTTGCAACAAAGTTAAAATGAACCGATTCAAGCTATACTTTTCCTTGTCCACTCTGGTGGATACAGATGTTCAGGGAGATTAGGGGGAGGTTAGATCATGTTAAAAATGGCCACTCAATATAACCTAGTTCACCCAGGTACAGAGCTTAGATCAACTTAACTTGGGATCTAATGTAAGTGCAAACTATACCAGGAGTTCCAAGAAGGTTAGATTGGTCTAAAAATACTCAACCAAATCTAGAGTTAACCTCACCTCTGAGGTAGTCTAATTTAAATTGAGTTGGCCATTTTTAGACCAAACTAACTGTCCTAAACTTCTGTACAGTTCCCAGCACAGCACCACGGCTGGGAAAGCCCAGCTGCTGGCCCCAGCCCCAGGGCTACACTTTTTCTACCCACTTCTCTGCCACTAAGCTGGCCTCTAGCCCTCTGGCTCTTCACCCAGATGAACACCCCCCACCCCCCCGACTGACCAGCCCCACTCCCAGCCCACCAAACCTCACCATCCCTCAGGCAGCTCCCAGTACCAGTTTTATCAACAGTCACCAATGCTGTGAGCAAGGAAGCTAGTCCCGGTGGGGGATGGGTTGGGAGATGAGGGAGTAGATTTG